GAAAAGTACCTGATTGTCCTCGGTGTTCAGCTTTTGCAAGCACCGCTGGATAACATGATTGCCATTCAAGTCCTTGATGAGGGTCACTACTCCAATTTTTAAAGCATTCGTTACCATCTGTACTTGGTCGGGCGACGTCAGGGTCTCTATCAGCTTCTGGACGGCTCTTGTTCTGCAAGGAGGAACACACACACAACCCGCAACACATGCATGACCACAAGACGAAGATCGAGCACAATATCAGGTGAGCCAACCCGTGCGGTATTCGTCCCTACCTGCATCCAGCAATTCACACACCCGTATCGCCAGCAAGCAAACTGCGGGCCTCGCTCCACAACGCACCACATTCACAAAAGACAAAAAACAAGGCCAGGAGTATATTTCCACGTTCTAGCTGAAGATTCCTACTCATTTTGCACGTTTTTGGTGATTACTGGAGCTCGTCCCTGTGCGCCGCTCACTGTCAAATCACCCTTCCATGCAGTGGATGTGCTAAAAATAAGTCTATATTGCACACAACACTGGTCACCGGGCAGGGAGAACAGCACAAAAAACAAGGGGGCTGCAATCGGCTCTCTTCCACACAGCTCGCACCACCGGAAAGGGGAAGCAGGGCGGTACTGCCCGGGCCGGCACCACTACATATATTATCCATCCGCCTGTAGGATTCCCCTTCACAGTGCTTCGGGACATCCGTTAAAATTGGAACGATACGGAGAAGACTAGCATGAAAAAAAAAAAAAGGGATTCCCCTTCCCATCAACCTAGGTATCCGTCCAAGCATGGTCCGTGGCCCACCACACGATATCAAATTAAGTTTATTGGGGCATAGAGGGGTCATACGCCCACGCTTGCCTACTCGACACTGGATGCACTGCAGCAGAACGCGGCACAGCCCTAAAAAAACAAAACCCGCTTCAGATCCCCGGGGCACATGTGTATATATATTGTCACATAGCACCTCAACCGATCCTTTTTCTTTCTGTTATGTGGTTCGATGGACCACGGATCAGATACAAAACTGATCAGAACAGACATACAAAACTGATCATAGCCAAAAGGCCAAAAAAGGTATCAAAACACGGATCCATATCTCACCGGCTGGCAGAACAAAAGCCACGGAAGGAATGCCCTCATCTTACAACCCGCAGGCAGAGCACAACTGCCATCATCACTGCTGCCGCAGAAGCTCAGTTGAACAGAACTGTCCTCACTGTTTCATCGCCGTTGGCAGGTGCCTTCCCAACCAACATGTACTCTCTTTGCACATCGGATCAAGCAACACATCCATTGTCGCCACCAACAGAGGGTCAGCTCACCAACTCCCTTTCTCTATCGCCATCCACCACGGCAGAGGGTATGCTCATAAACACTTGAAGACTTTGCCACCACGGGAGGGTATGCTCATAAAGACTCGTCGTTTTTCTCACACCATCTGTCTGTCATGGGATGTGTGCATCGTACCTAGACGGGTACAAACCTCCTCCAGCCCCGAGCAGAGTGAAGCATAATCATCCAATCTGCGGCTTGATCAGGAGCACCACTTTAATTGGGAGTTCAACTACATTTGGTCCTCTTTAACAAGAGGACAAACGATTAGTCTCTGTTAAATCATCGCCACTGAATCTTTCTCGAGATCTACGCTCTGGGGGGGAACTTTCTTCAAGTAGGACAACCGATTGGTCCCTGTTGTGTTCTCCCCCCTTGCAGTTGCGTCTTTCTTGTCTTGATCTGAGCTGTGCCGGGATCCCACCCGCTGGCTTGATCACCTGCGCACTGCATCAGTGGCCGGGCATGATTGGCGCGAACGGGGGGGGGTGGTGGGGGGGGGGGGCGAACGAGGGTCTGCACAAATTAATGCGCTCGTTATCGTCACCCGTTGCTCTTCCATCTTGCATCTCCTGCCCGCGTCCGCAGAGTCCTTATTGGGCCCCATTGGTACCCTTTTTCCAGAGAAACTCTACCTGAGCACGACCTCTGCGGCCGTTTACAGAGAAACTCGGCTTCAAGTGAACGCGTCGTATTTATTTCATTTGATTTTCGTTGTTTTGTTGTGGATTGAAACCCAACACAGTCCAGCCTCTCACGGCTGCGATTCAAGTATGTCGACGACGCCTCTTCACCAAAGGATAGCCGCGCCCACAACACTTCATGCCACTTCGACGAGATCAATCACAATTTTTCGTCTCAAGCGAACGAACGTCAGCTTGACGTTCTGTGATTTTGGATTGAATGAACCGACTGTCCCAGCTCATGTGGCGCAATGGCACACAAATGTATTGTTGATAAGCTGATGACCAGGGGTCGGACCGCTGAACCCTCCTCGGATCTAGTGAATATATACAATAAAGTGAATATATACAATAAATTGAATATATACAATAAAGTGACTATATAGAATAAATTAAATATGAATATATGCAATAAAGTGACTATATACAATAGTGTTAGGGATGGGAACCTGTTAAACAGACTTACCACGGTGCGATTTGTATATAAAACACTGACGTCGCTGCATTGATCAATCGACATGGGCGCGCGTTAGGAACCGGTCGACGGTTGCTTGGGGCCTGCGTAGTTGCGCTACTCGCCATCCACCAAGATTTCTGAATGCATCTGGACAGACACTCGTCCGGATGCATTCGATATGTCGGCGGGCGGCGAGTAGTGCAACCCTACGCACCTACGTAGTTGCACTACTCGCCATCCGCCAAGATTTTCGAATGCATCTGGACAGACGCTTGTCCGGATGCATTCGATATGTTGGCGGATGGCGAGTCGTGCAACACTACGCACCTTGAACCCGAGGGTTGCTTCAACTGATTGCCGGCTATCCGCATTGTCCATCCCTCTCTCGATCACACCGATTAACAGCAGCACACACGCAATAGACTTTATGACACATCTGCATTGATCCCTCTTTGCGGCGGGCCATGGGTGTACCTGACCGCAATTACGTCCAGAGCTGACTCGGAAATGTTCGAGTGCGACGATGCCCTAACCTGCCATCTTAATGCGGTATGTGTACAGATCCAATGCAACGAGGACGTTGAATACGCTTCGCTTCACACTTTCCATGTCCATTTATTTCCAGTGCTCTGCCAAAGCGTGTGAACCAGAAACGCACTCTCATAGACAACGTTCTCCTTCCACTCCTTTCCCCCTCCTCCCTGCCCCCCTCCTCCCTCCTCCTCCCCCTCCCCCCTGGTTCCCCCACCTTGCGAGCAAAACGTAAAAAGACTCGTCGCGTGACAACGCGCGCCATGGATGAGGGCAAGTCAAACTAACCATCATCATCGTCTGCTGCGAACGAGAGCTTTTAACATTCTTTTTTCCCCCCCCCTTAAAAAGATTTTGGACCATTTTTCGGCTTATGCGTGTATCGTTTGTGTCATCATTCTACCCAAATCGTACTCATTTACTCATTTACCTCGTGCCAACCCATCAACTTGTTCACGAAGCACGATCCGATTGGCACGGGACCAACAAAAAAGAACCCTCTGCGCGACTGGTCACAAGGGCGAATGAACTCGCCTGGCTTCGACCGCCACCATCACCGGCGTCATCTGCTTCCTGCCGCGTCGTCCTCACGATCATCATCTACACTCCCTCGTTACGTGTTCCCACTGCGGCGTAAGCGCGTCTCGATCGGGTTTCGCAGTCATAATGCATGACCTTCAAATCAAGGTCACCATCGTTTTTGTTCCCCCTTCCCCCCCCCCCCCCCCCACCCGCCCCCATACCAGGGGCAACGGCCCGCTTGCGCGGATTAAGAGACATCAACGTACCGCATGTGACGATTCTCAGTGTCCAAGACAACACCAATGCAAGCGCGGAACTGCATGTGTAGTTCCTTCTGACACGAAATCAGGTCGTATGAACCGACCAAAAACATTGCCGTTTGCTCGTTCAATATCCCCTTCCCCTTCTCGTCCGTTATTGGTCCCCCCCGCCCCCCCCCTCTCTCCCCTTTCCATCCTCCTCCTCCCATCCTCCTCCATCCTCCTCCATCCTCCATCCTCCAATATCAACAATAACAACAACAACAACCAATCAACATTCCCATCAACATTCCCATCAATGCTGGTCACGAAGAAGAAGGCGATGTCTTCTCCTGCCCGTTGCGCTACACGATTGCCGCGCTCGCACGCCCTCCGCCTCCGCTTCAGATTTGCAAACCTTCGATCACCGTAATCATATCTTGGACCGTCGTCTTCCATTCAAAAAATGGACACAATGGAATGATAAGAGTTTCATTAGACTCTCTCATCTCGTCTCCATGAAAATTGATTGGATTACCTGATCCGACTCTCATCTCGTTTCGATTAAAACTGATTGTATTACCACCAAAAGCCTCTCTTAGTTGGTACACCAGTGAGCTGATGAAATAAAGTCCTGAGGTCGAATCCAGATGGGGCCTACAGGCATCACATCCATATCCATTAATATCTGGAGCCGGTCAGCTCGGCGATGACATCTGAAAGGGGGCACCATGCTTTTCAATATAATAAACTATTTTATCAGGACACTGCATGTAGACAAGATAAGATTATACCTATACATGTAGGCTTGAGAGCAAAATCACAGTATCAAATTATCGCACGTTTGAGTACAGTAAAACTACAGTATCAAAGAGATACTTTTAAAGGCTAAGAAAGAACTAAGAGAGAGGCAGACCCAACTCTAAAAGGCATTATCAGAGCATGGGCAACTTGGTATTTGAAAAGGAGAAAAGTAAAAGGGAAGAGAACAAGAGAAAAGCAAAGGGGAGGGAGGGAGCATTCGTCAAAAAAAAAACACTATTGGACCCCTTTATACCAAGATGCCGTTCTCGAAACGGCACATACGTAGTAGGATTCGGCGTACCCCTTTATTTATACCGCGACTCCTCCCTTTCCACACAACCCTCTCGCGCACGCACGCACGCACGCATGTGCACACCTCTTTCTCTTCGCACGGTCCATCCCCTGCAAACAGACACGTACAGATTCATGGGATAGAATGCTTCCCAAGGCGACACAAGTCTGCACAGCATCCCTGCAAATACCGCTCTCTTGCAAGAAGCACCACCCAGCAAGCAGGTTACTACACCATAAGGCCATCATCCATCAGCCCCACCTGACCGACGCAAAGCCAGGAGATTTCCCCCGATGCAAGGAACACCCAGCATAA